GGGGGGGGGGGGGGGGGTCAGGTGCGCCCTGCAATTGTGGGAATCTTTTCTTTCCACTTTTTAAAGATTTTTTTTACTGCCTATTCGCCCGAACTGGTGGTAAAAAAAAAATGCTTTAAAAATTAAACAAAGTTGGCCATGCCCACCCAGTCACATGACACACACACACCCCACGCCAAGCCATGCCCACCAAGCCACGCCCAGAGAACCGGTTGTAAAAATCTTTACATTTCACCACTGTTTCAGAAGTATGCATGAATGAACCAGAAGCTCAGGTATCCTTCTCTTGGTTATACTTCTATTCCAAAATTACCCCTTCCCCAGAACTATTTTTAATTTTGAAAACACACTGAAGTTGCAGCAAATAAGCTAATGAGTAACGTATCGATTGCCCCAAAGCTGCCTGGAGGCGTGATCCAAGATTCTCTTAAGTCACTGGAGGTAAATTCATTTTTGAATTTTGAATTTCGAGTCTAGCCTTCACCAAACAACCAGCGAGACTTGTGCAAATATTCCGCTCTCTGGTTTTGCTATCAAACAGGAGGGGCTGGGTTATTAAAGCACGGTCAGCTCTGATGGTCCCCATGGAGGTGGCCGTGTCTTCTTACAAAGCACCTCAAGGCAGCTTGAAGCTTGTTTTAATCACGGAGTGGTTGTCCGCTTACCTTGAACGTAGACGGCGTATTCGCACATTCCTTGGGTTTCCTGCAGTTGCTCTTTTATGGCAATCTGAACCCCAAAAGGAAGAGAGATTCAAATCGTGAGCATTTTTTATTTTATTTTGCAGAAGAGGCAGAATGTCATCGACTGTCCAACTGACCTTTTACAATAGCCACTCAACCTTCAGTTACGGTAGGTGAGTCTTTGGGGGGAAGTTGGCACTGGAACTTAAAATTGGTGTACTAAGAATAAGAGAAGGGACGTGGTGGAACAGTGGCTAAGACGCTGAGCTTGTCGATCAGAAAAGCCGGCAGTTCGGCGGTTCGAATCCCTAGCGCCGCATAACAGAGTGAGCTCCTGTGACTTGTCCCAGCTTCTGCCAACCTAGCAGTTTGAAAGCAGGTAAAAAATGCAAGTAGAAAAATAGGAACCACCTTCGGTGGGAAGGTTTCAGCGTTCCGTGCGCCTTTGGCTTTGAGTCATGCTGGACACATGACCACGGAGACGTCTTCGGACAGCGCTGGCTCTTCGGCTTTGAAACGGAGATGAGCACCACCCCCCTAGACTAGGGAACGACCAGCACATACGTGCCAGGGGAACCTTTACCCTTGAGGACAGCCTGTCTAAGCTCGGGAGATTGTTTTCATGTGCAATTTCCCATTAAATCACTTCCGAGGTGGTTTTACCTGTAGGAGAAATTGTTTTTTCCCCATCTATGAGTCTGTTCAGCCTTCCCGAATCCCTTTATTCTGACCCCATAGATTGTGAATGTGGATGATAGTTAAACTGTCATTAATCCAGCTGTGGCTGGATTAAGCTTAAACTGCTGGATAAGCTGTTTTCGGATTCTGCCAATCGCCAAGAATCTTTGTCTCTTTTTTAATCCATTGCCGGATGGAGTGTTTTTTTTAAAAAAA